CTCTCTCTTTCCTTTTCTCTCCCCCCCGGTTGTCTCTCACATAGCCCATGATCAGCAGCGGGTTCCAATGCGTTTTTTATGGTGTGTGTGTGTGAGAGCCCATGATCAGCAGTGGTTCCAATGCGTTCTTATGGTGTGTGTGTGTGTGTGTGTGTGTGTGTGTGTGTGTTTGCGTGTGTGTGTGCCTTGAGTGTTTCGTGCATTTCGTTTCTGTGGCATCTTTTTAATTCTGAATGTTGTTGCTTTTGTAGAAAAGAAGAGGTCCAAGGCGAGGAAGAGCTTCAGAGATGAAGAGAATTACATTGGCTTGTCTCACCAGAACCAGGTGTGTGCAACTGTTGTTGGCTGTTTCTTCGCCTCCCGATAACTTTTTAAAAGTTTTTATTAAATTTATAATTTAAAAAAGGAGGACTTGCATCAACTGTTATTGATGAAGGACGGAAGTCACGGAACTCCATGGGATTTTCTAGTGTGCCCCTCAGGGATACTAGCATGGTTTGCCTGCTATGACGTCAGGATGCTCGTGTCCCCCTAAGGAATGCTAGTGTGGTTGTTTGCTTGTTATTTACGTCAGGATGCTCGTGCACCCCTCACGGGTGCCAGTGTGATTTTGCTTGTTATTACGTCTCCTCTCTTTTATCATGAAAAAAAAAAGAAATTGAAAATTTATTGTTGACAATGTCGAGGCAGTTATGAAATGTTTGAGTCGAGAGAGTGGGGACCACGTATCTGATTAGGGAAGCTATGTTTCTGACCTTTTTTTTTTTTTTTTTGCCTCCTTGCTTCCGTCCAGCCTTATGGCTGTGACCCCTTTCTTGTCTAGAGAACAACACCCTGGGCTGGGCCCCTCGGCAGCATATTCTTAATTTTTCCCTTAGATTGTAATAAGGGTTCGACAGCTAGAAATGAAAAATGTGCTGCCGTGGATCACCCAGGTCGGTACCCAGGCAGTTAGCGCCAGGCTCGGCCGCCCGGCTCGCAGCCTTCATAGCTTTTTTGATTGAAGGACAGAGAGGCTCCAGGGAAGCAGCAAGGCGTTAAAAAAGTCGTGGGTCTTATGACCACATTAAACAAGTGGAATCTTTTTTGAGATTAAAGGGGAGAGGAAAACACAGAGGAGGGCCATGCTAGCTAACCTTCTCTCATTGCGTGTTCCGATTTTGAAGGCTGCCCTTGAGGACTCTCCATCTTCTCTTCACGCGCCTCCAACACATTGTGTTCAGTCTTTTTATCGCAATCATCCCACCAGCTCACTCGCCATGCCAAGATCAGCACATGATGCAGAAGTGAACGCAACATGAGAAATCATTCTTGAAACGATCAAAGAACGTTCATGTGCACGACTGTGCCTCTCTCTCTCTCTCTCTCTCTCTCTCTCTCTCTCTCTCTCTCTCTCTCTCTCTCTCTCTCTCTCTCTCTCTCTCTCTCTCTCTCTCT